CACGAGGGGTTAGAGTCCCCTTGGGAGAAGCCAAGGTGAAGGCCTATCCGCGAGGGGTTAGAGTCCCCTTTGGAGAAGCCAAAGTGAAGGCCTATCCAGGAGGGGTTAGACTCCCCTTGGGAGAAAGAAGCCAAGGGCCTATCCGCGAGGGGTTAGAGTCCCCTTGGGAGAAGCCAAAGTGAAGGCCTATCCAGGAGGGGTTAGAGTCCCCTTGGGAGAAGCCAAGGGCCTATCCACGAGGGGTTAGAGTCCCCTTGGGAGAAGCCAAGGTGAAGGCCTATCCATGAGGGGTTAGAGTCCTCATGGGAGAAGCCGAAGGCCAATTTACGGGGGGTTAGAGTCCCCTCGGGAGAGGCCAGAGTAAAGTGGTTCGAGTCCCCTTGGATAGACCTGAAGAAAAGTTTTGCCAAGGAACCTTCTTTTTCATAGATTATTGCTTACAATTAGGAAATATGGGAAATTCTACATCAGTACCTAAATATTCTCCTTTGGGTTGCTCCTTAAAACACCGAAAGAGCTTCCAAGTAGGTAGTTTAGATAAGGAGTATCTTGTTGACCTCTGTAACACCACGTGGCCTGAGTATAAGTTAGAATATTGGGAAGGATATACAGTGAATGAATGAGACCAGTTGTAGTTACCGACATGGCAGCACTGAGAAGGATGAGAAAGGAGAGGCCGACAAAATCTCAAGGCCGACCTAGGCTGCCACAACGAAGGAAGACAAAAATGATCGTCTGTACTTTCAATGCACGTACGCTAGCATCAGATGCATCCATCGAGGACCTGATGGTACAAGCGCGAATGATCAAGTACGACATCATTGGTCTGACCGAGACAAGAAGACACGAATCTCACCGGTCAGACTTCTTTGTCAAGGTCATGAACGATCGGTTTGAGGCCCTCCATGTTCCCGGAGCGAAGAGATGCCATTGGGCTACACTAGCACGCGACAGGGACAAATGGAGACGTTACTGGCGCCCGCTCGAGCAAATCGACGACTAACGGGAAGTTAAGTGATATTAAGTGATACAGTGAATGGCAGTTTGCATTACCAGATCATTTTGCAGTCAGATCTTTGCAGGTAACAAAAAAATAGGATTATCAAAGCAGAGGAGGCAGGAAAAATGCAAGATCATGATACGAGCTCCCTGCCTCAAAACTAGCCTTGACCAAAATATGGTAACACCTTTGTTATAGTTTATTTTGCCGGCTTATATCAACAAAAGTGCTTTCTTGACCCATTTTTAACAAACAGGAGACTGACTGGTCAGGCTGGGAAACGGGGAGCAGTGTACCCAATCGGCCGACAGGGCATCTTTGCCCTGGGGACTGCTTCTTCCTTTCTCAGTCCATCAGTTTTTCTCCCTGCCATTTTTGAAGGGTCAGATCGGTCAACTGCAGATGTGTGCACATGTATGTGTGGTGGTCTTTAGTCAGTTCATTGTCTGTCTGTCTGTCTGTCTGGAACACTCGAGTGCTGGAACCAGGTTGAAATCAGAAGTAGAAATTCTTCGTGGTCGCCATCTGATGTCAGTGGGCCTCACGGGTGACTTATGTGAAGCGGGGAGGAGAAAGACAGTCACTTTCTCCCCAACCGCCTCTGCCACTCGGGACCCAGGGTTGCTGGGTTCTTGTCTCACCTCGCAGAAAGGAATTTCAGGAGTAGACAAGCAGTGAAACAAATAGATTTTATTTGGAGGATTTTTAGGTGTGGAGGGAGGGAGAGAGAGTGAGAGAGTAAAATTAGACACGAAAGCATGAAAGTACACATCTCAAGAGGGGAGATGCGGGCGACGCATGTGCTCGGGCACCACATGTGCTCAGCCACGTGGGCGCAAGCAGCACATGGGCTCAGGCAGCATATGCACACCCTTCCTTTGTTCCAGGTGGCCTTTATAGGGTTTCTCCAACCTGCCCCCACGTGGGGCTTCTTTCCAGGTAAAAGTTCGTTGCTAAGGAGGTTACCAGGGAGGTCCAAAAAGAGGAATTTCATGGGGAGGCCTATATCCTGAGGGTCTGCGGATGGTCTTATCAGGCCTTTGTTTTCTGTATCCACAAGTTGGGTCATTCCTAGAATTCTTCCATTGCAAAGGGCCTTTCCCTATCTACCTGCCTACATCAGTCCAATGTAGATATAGTACCACTTTGGATTTGAGGACAGCTGAAGGAGAGTCTGGACCAACAGGTACAACAGCCAAGTTTAGCATTCCATTTTTTCTCAGATATGTTTTAGTTGGGGGTAGAAAAAAATCATGAAATGCCTACTAAATAAATGCATCCATATCTCGTGATATGCAAAAGTCATGGGAGATTCCTTATATAGTAGAAACCCATATTTCCCACAAATGCACATGAAACAATTCTGCCAAACTGCTAGTTCTTATTCAGTGCTGACCTATAAAGGTATCAGAAAAAGGTCTATTATGAAAGAAGAATATATATATATATATATTTTGGTTTTAAGGTGTTTTAAATTGTATTGTTAGGTAATGGAGGTACAGGCACTTGCATCCAACATGGGCTCAGTCCCTGACATTTATCTCAGTTCCCTTTCCTTTATATTTTTTTTTGTTTTTGTTGATGATGAGTTTTTTCATTTTAAGTGTAGCAAGCTACGGATGGAAGAAAAGTGGATTCCTTGAAAATATTGATGTATTTGTTTCTGTTTATTGCCGCCCACATTTTCTACCACATATGAAAAATGAAACATTTACCCACAGCTTTTGTAAGGGTGTGTGTGTGTGTATAAAACATTGATTTAAATTTAATAGCTTATCTTAAATCCTCTACAAAAAACACAATGGTGTATAATTGTCATCATGTCATTCCAAATGCAGTGACTCTCAGTTTGAAAGATGAATTAGAGCATCCACGGGATTTTTAGGGGTTTAGGCCCTTACATTGAATGAAGTCAGCCAAAGTTCAATCCCAAATACCAAATGACCTGAAACTTCAGCAGTATTTCCTTATCATCATTGAGTATTTCCAGAAAACAGAAAGATGAGATATAAATCTTTTGTGGATTTTATATAAATCACGGTCACAGTCCTCCCGTTGTTCATCGATTTTTTCGAGTGGGCCCAGTAACGTCTCCATCGTGAGACTGTTGTTACTGTGTTTGGCATATCGAATACATCACAGGTAGCTTGCCAGGCTCTGCCGTGCGGGCGAGATACTCTCAGTAGCTTGCCGGGCTCTCCGAGAGGGGCGGAGGAATCAAACTCGGGTCGGCCATGTTGGCTGCTTGTAAGGCAAATGCCCTACCACTGTGCTATCGCTCCAACCCCCTTTATATAAATACTTCAGACTAAACTGAAATACCTGTGACACTAGAAAATTAGTTCAAATGCAAGCTTAATTTTTTTCTAAATTTTATTTTTATAAAGCTGTTCATAATAATTCATTACATTTAATATTCAAACACAAATCACACCACCATTGCACCTTTTCACTACCATATTTTGAATGTTTCCACCTCAAATCACAAATTATGCCCCCCAAACAAAAAATACATTTTGTATTGCTTGTCACAAATAATCTGCTAAAAATGATACAATAAAGTTTCCTTAGAAGAAAGTGTGTGAAGATTATTGTAATTAATTGTAGAGCCATTAATCCCTTGTATAAGAGATTACATTACTATGGCAGGTTACCAAATGTAACCTGCCCACACGGCAGAGTCTGGCAAACTCTCCGTGTTGTACCCAATATGCCAAATACCAGTAACAATGATGGATCTCATTCTCCTAACCCTGGGAGAGCTTTTAATATGGCACTTTTAAAAAAATATCAGGGCTAGGACGAAGGAGAAGGAGACGTTACCGGGGCCTGCTTGAGGCAATCGACAGACAACAGGATGGTCGTGATCATGATAAGAGATTACAAGGATGTTTGTTCAAACCAATGAAACGTGGAGAGCAGCCATGGGCGTGGCAACGGTTGGGTTCTGAAGATTTTTCAGTTGCCGGGGTTTTAAATACCAGATTTAAATGAAGCAAAAAGAAGTTCTTCATAAAGATCATTTTTAAAAAATTTTTATTAGTGAGACACCATGAGGTACAGTTGTAGATTTACAAATTTTGTGCTTGGGTTTCAATTATACAATGATCAAATACCCATCCCTCCACCAGTGCCCATTTCCCACCACCACAGATCCCAGTATCCCTCCCACCTTCCATCCCCACCCCCCATCCCACCCTGCCTCTGTTTTGTCTCTCTCTTATTAGGTGTTGTGGTTTGCAAAAGAGGCAATGGATGACAATCATGTTTGGTCTATAGTCTATTTTCAGCATGCTTCTCCCATCCTGGGAGGATCCTCCCAACACCCCATAAAGATCATTTTAAAAGACACTTTGGACATTGTATTGATGACTTTCAAATCTGCTCTTTGATTATTGTTTGTATTGACTCCAATAAGCCACGGTGCAGGACCAGGAATGCAGAGCCCTCTGGTGACAGGACCCAGAAAGACACAGACACCTAAGGCATCTTGCTAAGGCACCTGAGGCTCAGGAGTCAGACTGGGAACGCCTCCACACCTTCACACTGCCAACAGGAATCTTCCGTGCAGATGGGATCTTCTTGTCCCCCAGGCCGCTTCCATCCTTTTCTAGTATGCCCCAGGGCCAAGACACAGAAGACAGACACATCAGAGCAGTTAGAACTGAGCCACCATCAGCAGCTGACCCCTAACAAAATGGGGATCCTTCAGAGAAGAAGGAGTATCATAAGGCCCAGGATTTTTGTGGTCCCTGAGGAATAGGTCATAGGTATGTGCTAGTGGGTGCCTGTTCTTTAGTCGCAAAATGTAGGAATTTTTTTCTAATATCTTAGAATTTTGTATAATGTCCAATGAGGAATTGGGGGAAGATAAACAAGGTAATGTGTTGGTTCTGCCAAAGATAAGAAATTCCCTTCTTTCCAACCTATTTCCTTCCCCTGATACATCACTCCCTTACAATATAAACAACCCAGTCCTATAATGCACATCACCTAGACTTCACAGGGTCTTGACAGGCCTCAACATTCTCCTTTTGAGTAAGGCATCCACCAGAAACGTGGGCATGTAGCTCAGGGGGATGAAGGTGAATTTGGCATCCCAGCCAGCTGAATATTGGGTGCGAGGGTGACAGGAGACCAGGGCATGCTCCAAGCAGTCAGTCACAAGGGACAGATCCTCACACCATAATGACTTGAATTTCTGAAGATTTTCAAGGACTGTTCAGAAAGACAAACCATTGAAATACAGTCTTACTTCAAAAACTCACAGATTTTCATTACATACTGAAAGTTATTGATTCATTATGTTGTGTGAACGTTCGTTCAGTCGGAGGTGCTGAGATAAGGAATGTGAGAGAAATTATATTTCATGGAGGGCCCAGACTCGCTCAGATCCTGTGACAAAAGGTTATCAAACTACTGTGACAAAAAAATTATCATCCTACTGGGTTCAATACAGTGACTTCATCAAATGAAGTTACAGGAAGAATAGTGAGGCAGCAAGGCACATTGTTTCCTTTTGTCTGGTCTCTGAAAGAGATATAAATCCCAAAACTGAAACCTTTCCTGGACTAGAGCGTCTAGGTTTGCATCTCAAAGACAAGCTGGGCTAGAATCTGGAATCTACATCCCAAAGACTAGGCTGGGCTATCACCTGAAATCTTCATGTCACAGATCAGGCTGGGCTCCCACCTGAAATCTGCATGTCAAAGACAAGCTGGGTTCAGGTTTCTGTGAGAAGAGGGAAATTGAATCTTTCCTTAAACCAAAATTTATGAAATTATTTACTGAAGGCAGCTTAAAGAAAAATATGTTCAGCTTCATCCACACCAGTCAGGACACATGAGAAATCTCGCCCATTTTCATGGGTCCCTATGTTCCTACCCAGGTGCAGTGCAGTCTACATGGGCTAATTCTGATGGCTCAGTCCAGCCCCAACACATTAATAATTTAAAGTAATAATAATTCTCCTACAGGTGTATGTGCTAGGTCCCAAATCCAAAATCTTGCCTTCAATAATCATTGTGAGGGACAGGCTCAACATGGACCACCAGAATTAACTTAGCTTAGCTTAACAGGAACCCACATTGCAAAATAACTTGTTTTTCTGCCCCTGAGCAAGGAACTCGGATACAGGTGCCCCAAGTTTCAAGTCATGAGAAGGGTGGGGGTCAGACCAGAAAACCAGTTGTCTCTCACAAGATCCATGTCACAAGACCCAGGACTGCCCTAAAAACCAGGACGTTGCACTGACGCAAATGCTGATCTTTAAACTATAGGCTAAGGAGTGATGTACTTTTAAATGGATTGGTTAGGAAAGTATGTGTTGTTATGAATCTATTGGCTATGAAATGTGCGGGCTCTACTATAACGGCCAGTGAAGGCCTATATACAATCTCCTTTGGAGAAGCTCGGGGTCTTGCCCAACCTGCTGGACCTGCATGTCTGCATAGGCGACTCGACCCTGGCTAGTCAGTCTTACAATAAAGCCTGCTTGCTGTTTGCAGTCTCTGGAGTCTCTTTGTCGTTAAAGGGAGATTTTAATCCATGCCCTAACACCATCATGGATTTCCTCTGAGAGTTTCTCATTTCTTCACACAGCATACTCTTTTCGTGAGGGTCACTGTAGTTCCTATTTAGAGAATATGTACTCGCTCAATCTCGAGTTGTGCACAAGTATGACAACTCTAGACTCTGAACCAGCTTATCTAACATCAGGTTACTATGAGTCCTGGAAAATCCTAACTCTGGTTCCAGTTATTGCAAAGAATGAGACACAATGAGAGATTGGTTTCTTGGACTAAAAGACCTAAATTCTTGTCTTGCTTACTATTGCCATATGGACAAAAAAACATTGTATGAATGTTCCTAGTTATGCTGACTCTAACCTAGACATGGACTAGGACTGTAGGAGGAACTGATGAAAGACCCAGAGTTCCAAGCATTATTTGCCCACACCCCATCCCCCCCCCCCACCACCACCACAGTCCAGTGCACTCATAGGCCATCAGAGAGTTTTCCCCATAGATGTCCTTGACTTCTGGACTGGCCTGATCCCATGCATCCCAAAACTTCTGAGAAATATACCCAAAATTGTTCATTTTAGTCTTGAAATTACCAGGCTTAATCACAGCCACCTTTACCCCAAAGAAGGAGAGCTCCCTCCTGCAAATACAGAGTACAAAAATTAATTTCAACGCCTTAAGGAGAAAAAACAAAAAAGAACCACAAAGCTCACATAAACCAAATAACTTTCCCAGAATTGAGAAGGAATAAATACAAAATTTGGGGAGTTAAAGTAAAGAGCGCTGTGATGGTAACATAGTTTTATAGAAGGCTTCTCCATATTCCTAGATAACTAACATATAAAAACAAATTAGGTGTAAAATCTTGCACTTCTATCAGACATTGTTTACTCATAGATTCAACAAGTTCCACCACTATCCACACCATCAACATTCCCATTTTATCCTTCCCTCACCTCCATTTGTCCAACCTCTACTCTGCTGTTGTCATTCCAGGGTTAACTATGACTTCTGCTGTCTTGACCATTCTCTAAGAAAGAGCTCCTTGTTAGGAAAGATGAAGTCATAAAATTTGCGCATAAGTGGATGGTCATGAAGAGTAACATGTTAAGTGAAATGAGTCAGAAAGAGAGGAACAGACATAGAAAGACTGCATTCCTTTGTGGAATATAAAATATCTTAATGTGAGACTAACACCAAAGGACAGAGAAGACAGGTCCGGGAATATTGCTCCTTAATTGGAAACCTGTCTTATGAGCTTGAGAAAAAGGCAGCTGAGATAGAGAAGGGATCACCAAGCCAATGATAGTTGGAGGGATCACTCGGGATGGGAGATGTGTGCTGAAAGTAGATAAATAATCAAACATGATGACTTCTCATTATCTGTATTGCAAACCATAATGCCTATAAGTAGAGAGAGGGTAAGAGGGAAGAAACTATTGGCCAGAGAGGCAGAGGAGGGGTGGGAATGGGAGGTGGTCGGAATACTGGGGACATTGGTGGTGGAAAATGTACACTAGTTGAGGGATGGGTGTTTAATCATTGTATGACTGAAACTCAAACATGAAAGCTTTATAAGTGTAGTTCGTGGTGATTAAATTTAAAAAAGGAAAAGAAAGATCTCTTGGCATAGAGGGTAGCAAGTTTGAAAGTGCCTGCCTAGAGTTCAAAAAGTAAAGGGTTAAATCTGTAGTAGCACTGTGCTATGCCACTATCACAACCTTTGGGTTCCCTGGAAACACAATAAAAGCTAGTTGTGCAAGCATTATGAACAAGGGTGCTATGCCTAGTCATTTCACAGCAGAAAAAGGAAGGGAAAACCAAAAACATTTTGTGTATAAGCTTGTATAAAAGCTCATTTCTCCAATTTCACAGTCATCTGTACATTGAAATCATTAGGTCCATAAATCTAAAATAGTAGCTTCCCTGCTGATTTCCTGGCAGGAGTTCTGCTGCCAAGAGTAAGAAGGTTCACACTTTCCAGGAATCACATCCATCTAGAAGCCACCAAAGTCATCTGCTAAGGTTTCCTTTAACAAGAGACCAACCAGTCCTCATCCTTACCACGAACCCTGCAGCATCGGGTGTCAACCACTCTGACCCTGGCTCGACTCATCACAACCCTCATTTAGGAACCTTCCTGCATTACATTAACAAGTTAGGTGCTTCAGTCTTCAACTCAGGTCCTCCCTCCAGGATGTTCACCAATGCAACAACTACAGGATCTTGGGACTCGGTGGCCAACGTTGTGAGAGGGGGACACAGTACATCCATCCCTGTCTTTTTCTTGAGCCTCACACTGTGCTTTGTTTGCTTTGTCCACACAGAAGTTCTCACAGAAGTTCCCAGGAATATCCATCAAGCACAGATAAATGCTCTAAGCCAAGTTCATGGTCTCCTGTGTCAGAATATTATAGAGTTGATGTCATGCGTGCAGCTAAATCATCTCTTTTTTGTTCTTCAGGTCCATTGCCTCGAGCCCTCACCCAGAGAAAAGATGGAATTAGAACCTACAGGACAGATTTCCAACCAGAGCCCAGAACATCGTTGGAGCCTTCCAATGCAAATGGCTCTAAGATGTCAAAGAGATCGACAAGAAAGAGATGGAGAAAGTAGGTGGTAAAACGGCGAGCCCATGAAAGGTCCCAGAAAGCAAAGCAGCAGGAGCGCCACAGGGTAGTCTCCTCTACCCTTACCTGAGGGAGTCAGAGAAGGCCTCAAGACCAAACTTGGAGATGCTGTAGCCACCACCAACTAAAGAAATACGACCAGCAACACTGGAGACGTTGACCACTCGACCTCTGGCCTTCCTCAGCAGGGACAGCAAGCTCAGAGTCACCTCGATCACCCCCAAAAGATTCACTTCCAGTGTCTTCATGAAGTCCTTTTTCGTCAACCACTCGTTGGGGGCCATGAGCCCTGTAATGCCAGCATTGTTCACCAGACCCCACAGACCTGGACACAGGGAGGTTTGGGAGAGCACCAGTGTGTTGTGCCTCGAGCAAGATCACAGCTGGGGTCCCACACCCTTCCCACAATAGGACATGGAGAGGTTGCACAGGGTGTGGGTAGAACAAATCCAACAGATTGTCTACAGGGCTGAACTTCAGTAGTGTCAGCTACTGGAGGCTAGAATGAGCCTTTGGGTCTCACACACCAATTTTATGGTTGAAAAATTATAAACTTTATCTGAAAAAAAAAAAACAGCCCCAGAACAGATGACTGGTTAAAGAAACTTTAGTATATCTACACAACGGAATACTATGCAGCTGTTAGAAAAGATAAAGTCATGAAATTTGCACATAAGTGGATCAACATGGAAAGTATCATATTAAGTGAAATGAGTCAGAAAGAGAGGGACATAGAAAGATTGTGCTCATTTGTGCAATATAAAGTAACAGAATGGGAGACTTACACCCAAAAATAGTAGAGATGAGTACCAGGAGGATTGCTCTACGGTGTGAAAGCCGGCCTCACATGCTGGGGAAAATGGCAGCAAAGATAGAAAAGGGAACACAAAGTAAATGGTACTTGAAGGGTCTGCTCGGGATTGGAGATGCGAGCTAAAAGGAGACTATAGACCGAACATGATGGCCACTCAATACCTATATTGCAAACCACAACGCCCAAAAGGAGAGAGAGAGCAGAAGAGAATGTCCTGCCACAGATCTGGGGTTGGAGGTGTCGGGAGGGATACTGGGATATTGGTGGCGGAGAATGGCACTGGTGGAGGGACAGGTACTCGATCATTGTATGACTGAAATCTAAGCACGAAAGTGTATAAGTCTGTAAGTGTACCTCACAGTGATTCATTTAAAAATTTAAAAAACAATAAAAAACAAAAAAGAACATAAAAAAGAAAAATTATAAACTTCACCTACATTTTCATGTATCACAGAGTCTGCAAAGTGGGTGTGACACAACTATCGCTTGAGCAAAGAGGCAGAGGGAAGAAAGGAGAAAGTAAAGAAATGTAGGATTAAACAAAATATATAAAGACAACACCATTTTTAGAGGGTTGATCCTACTTAGGAAATATGTTGGGGTTTTTTTGGGGGGAGGTGTTTGTTGGTTTGGTTTGGTTTGGTTTGGTTTGGTTTTAATTTTGGATTTTGACCACACCTCTCTGTCCTCTGGGCTTACTACTGGCTCTGGACTCAGGATCACTCCTGGTGAGCCTTGGGAGATGTTGGTGATTCAACCTGAATCTGCCACTCGGGCAGAGCTCTACTCACTATACAATCACTTCGTCCAAACTTAATCAGGAAAATGCAGAAGGATCTAGGAGTTGTGTCCCACGAGCATCTCTCTGGCATGGCCATGGCCCCAGAGGCAAACGGACCTGATTCGAAACCCACCAGCTTTTGGCAGAAATGTGTATGGACTATGCATTAAGCTACAGTGCCATGCCCCCCCCCGGGAGGGAAAGGGTGTCTGTCTCTTCTGCCTCCCCCACCCTACCCCCCAGCGGCACAGTGACCTCAGAGCTTATTGGACAGCCAGGTATGAGCCACTGGTGATGGGGCAACTGTGGTCTCATGGAATGGGGGCAGAACCAGCACGTCCTTCCTGCCCCGCCGAGACCATTAGTCCTTCCTCCCCATGTGCAGCTCTCTGGCATGGCCATGGACCCAGAGGCACAAAAACCAATTTCGGAACTATGTGGCTTTTGACAGAAATCCCTCCAGACCTAATTAGTAAAAAGCAGAAATCCAAAATCGCATGGCCACTATCGTGGCCACGCAACATCATATGATCTTCATAACCAGCAATAGAAAACAATTTATTTCACAATGCCTTTTCAGCAGGTCTGATTGTTGGGGGGAAATTCCAAATAATAAAGGTGCATCTTTTGTTGAAATAATGAATGTAATCAAAGTAGAGTGAGAGTTAAGTGGAAATCATCTGCCTCACAGGCACAGGGAGGGGTTGGATGGGGTATATTGGGGTTCTTGGTGGTGGAAAATATGCACTGGTGAAGGGATGGGTGTTTGATCATTGTATGACTGAGACTTAAACCTGAAAGCTCTGTGACTGTTCTCACAGTGATTCAATAAATAATTTAAAAAAAGAAAAATGCAGAGGATCAGTCATGTCAGTTTTATGTGGTGGGATACCATTATGGAACATATGGGGGACACCAGTAGTATATAATAGAAGTATAGACAACTTCAGTTCAAATCCGGTACTGATCCAAGCTCTGCATAAAACATCCATTCCAATATCTCTCTCCTACCCTTAACATACAGACTATTCCAACTCAACGCAAGATTCAAGAAAAGATACTCCTAACTTCTCCTCACTGCTCCACCATCCCTGGGGATGCTTGTCTCTGGTGGACATCAATAGGCCAATACCCAAACTGGAGTCGACCCCCTCCCTAACAGTTGGCTCCCTGAAGCCTCCACACCTGATCTGTACCCCATTAAGGACAAACACTACAAAAGAAAAGGAAAGAAAAAAAGAATAGAAAAGAAAAGAGAAAAAAGAGAACTCCAGCTGAGAGATGACTCAGGAAAGGTCACATCTCAAAAGGAAACATTTCCCCAACAACACAGTGATTGTGTGGTCAATGCAAGAGGCAGGGACACAGGCTGGGAGGTTCTGACTGAGAAATGTTCATGGAACTCAAGTCCTGAAAGATCCCAGGATTCTGTCGGGGGAGCACAGTCAGAGGCTCCCCTTCAGATACAGATCCAGCAGTCCATAGTACCTGTCTCCCGTGCGCTCCTTCACCCACTGTGTGGCCACAGCGATGCTCTCTGAGTTGGTGACATCCAGGATCACTGTGTCCAGCCTGTTTGAAGTCTGCGCCCTCAACAATTCGGCCCCCTTCTCTCTGTGACACGCAGCCAGCACCCTCAAGCCCCGCTGGTCCAGCTGCTTGGCCAGCAGTTTCCTGAAGCCCGAATCACAGCCCGTGATGAAGACGTACTTGTCCTGCAGCTGGCTCACCACCTGCCTTTCCCGGTACCAGCGCACAAGGTGGTACAGAGCCACCAGGGCCACCAGGTACAGCCACATGACCTGTAGAAGACAGAAATTTAGTCCCTGGTGACATCAAGGACAGGTCTGTGTGCATGAAAGCAATATTGAGCATGGGAATCCTAGGTTGTAGACCAGACTACAGGCTCACTGCAAAGGCTCCCCATGTTTTTCTGTTTTACCACTTTAGTGAATTCTCACCCCTCCTACTATGCTCTGTATCACATTTTCCTAAATTATTTCCACTCAGGACCCTTTTAACCTAAGAAAATTTTACACAACTCCAAGCATTTGAGTATATAAAATAAATGCACAGAACTTTGTAATTCAAAGTGATTCCATTTTAAAGATTAATTAATTTAAAAGAAGTGTACACTAATTAATTTAAAAGAAGTTATCAAACATTTATTGATAACACATCATAAAGAAATTTATTTTTAAAATATTCTAATGGTTAGGTGACTCCATATTATGTGTAACTCAGTTGAGACAAGGCTCAGTGCTACTTTGACCAGTCAGTAGATGCTGTCAGATTCCCAAGAACTTCCAGGATTCCCAACCAAGCTCTAGGCTCACCCTCCCCTTTTCTCTCTCTCCTAAACCAACACTTGCAAGGCACACACATCGGAGGTTCGTTTAGTTTTCCTGAGTGAGCATCTTCTAATTTAAATTTTTCCTAGTCTTTGGACTCCTGAGTCCCTTAGATCAACAATAACCTAAAGTTTGGCGAACAAGGGGGGCTTCAGATCCACTTCCATTATGATGTGTTTAACACTAATGGGGCCTCCCCCTGCATTTGGGATTCCCATCTGGCTCAGCACACAAACACTCCTGAGACCCCTAGTCCCTGTCTGTCTCTCAAGGATTTGGAGGAAAAGGCAAGAAGTGGGGAGATCCTGCCTGATAAAGGGGTTTATGAGCAAGAAGAGACTGAGCACAGCAGAGGGTGTGTGACCTCAGAGAAAGAGCAGGAGAAAACGAGGAGCACGTGGGGTGTAGGCAATAGGGAAGCTTCTCTCAGTGGCAGAGAGTGGCTGAGGGACATACACAGAGTGATTCTCAAGGTCACTCTCTTTGAGATGCCTTGTCTCAAGCTTTGCCACCCCAAATAGTACCCCTGCCCCTCTGAGGCTGTTCCACCCTCAGAAGCCCCAATCACATCCCAGAACACTCAGATGCTGAATGGCGCAATGAGTAGACATAGAAACCAATAATGCTTTGCTTCTAATATTTGGGAGTCAATTGAATCAGAAATACATCTACTTATGAGCATCTGTCATAATTACTTGACTACGGCTTCAGTCATCGTAGTTCATAACACCCAAAATAAACTGGGTCCCACCAAGGAATTTCTGGATGGTCCTGGGTCAAGCAGCAAAGCTCCCCTGGTTTTCATATAGGATGGTCTAGAAATCATAAAGCCCAGTTGATACAAGCTATAATGACCTATGAGACAGGACCCCAAGGAATAAGAAAAGGTAAACTGGCCTGAGAACTTAGTCTTGGATTTATAGTAAATGCCCAGCCTAATTTTTATTTGTTTCTTTAAATTTTTTTTATTTTGTTGCATCACCGTGAGATAGAGCATTATAAAGCTGTTTGTCATTTATTTCAGTCATACAATGTTCCAACATCCATCCCTTACCAGTGTATTTTTCAGCAAGTGTCCCCAGTTTCTTGCCCATTCCACCTCCAGATCACCCCCCACCCCCACCTGCCTCTATGACACCAGGATGCTAACCCAGAGAACAAAGTTTTGTAATCTGTATATCTTATTGTGTTTATCCAAATAAGTGCAAATATTAATAAGAAGTAAAATTGTTTAATGTGTACTAGCTGCAAGGGGAGAGGAAAAAGCAATATGGAATGAATTTCTCAGTATAATCTCAAACAGAACATCTCCTTGAGTTGATCAGCCAAAGAGTTGTCTCCACCAAAACACTTTACCTCAGTAAATGATCAATCACACCTATGTGTGTCCTATACCTCTAATCTCTCAGATATTCTATAAGTATGCTTTTTGATTCTGAATTAAATGTCTAGTGTCCATTGATCTGAATCAATCAGTCTGTGGTCCCTATCTCTTTGTTCCTCCACTGAGGAGGTTGGGGAGGCAGTCCTCAGCCACCAAGTGAATCACCAAGGAAACCCCCCACTCACTTTTCTTCACACTCCCCATGCCGAAAGATCCAGGAGGATCTGGGTCCTACTCAGTCTACTCATTGAATCCTCTGTCAACGTTATATCTAGTCCACCTTGAGAAGTTGGCCGCTTGATCACAGTCCACACTGGACAAGGTACTTTGTCACCAGACTCTGGTCCTACGAAGGAAACACTGAATTAAGATGGAGAGTACCATGTTAAGTGAAATGAGCCAGAAATAGAGGGAAGACACAGAAGAACTGCTCTCATTTGTGGAATAAGAACGGGAGACTAACACCCAAGGATAGTAGAAATAAGGGCCAGGAGGATTGCTTCACGGCTTAGATGCTGGCCTCACATGCTGGGGGAAGAGGTAGCTCAGATAAAGAAGAGACCACCAATTAAAGGATGCTTGGAGGATCTGCTCGGTATGGGAGATATGTGCTGAAAGTAGACTATAGACCGAACATGATGACCACTTAATACATGCATTTCAGACTACAACACTAATGGAGAGAGAGAGAGAGAGAGAGAGAGAGAGAGAGAAAGAAAGAAAAGGAATCTGCCTGCCACAGGGGCGTGGGTGAGGCAGGGAACTGGGTGTGGATGGTGTGAGGCATACTGGGAACACTGGTGATGGAGAATGGGCACTGGTGGAGAGATAAGTCTCTATTATTGTATGACTGAAATGTAAGAATGAAAGTTTGTAAATGTATCTCACGGTAAAAAATATATAAATAAATAAAAACTAAAATTAAAAAATAAATAAATAAAATATATAGTATAAATCAAAAAAGAAAGGAAGAGGACAAGAATAAAGACATGAATAAAGAAAAAGAAAGAGAACAAAGAGGGAGAAAGAAAGGAAGGAGAAAAAGGAAGGATGGAGAGAAAGGAAGAAAGGAAGGAAGGAAGGAAGGAAGGAAGGAAGGAAGGAAGGAAGGAAGGAAGGAAGGGAGGGAGGGAGGGAGGGAGGGAGGGAGATGGTGGTGATACTGCTGCAGGCGCCAAAGCTGGTGGAGAGGCAGCCACTCTCAGCTCTCTGAGCTGTGGGCCACAGGAGGTCACAAGATTTCTGTATGAATGAACGTGAGTGTCCTTTAAATGTTCTCTCTCAAAAAAGAGTGTCTTCCTATTACCAGGGTTCACCTGGGGGCAGGGGCAGTGAGCAGAGTCACGGGTGTTCCGGTCTTTGTTCTTCCTGCTAAAATGGTCTGAAACGGGCAACATCGCTTCCAACCATGTTATAAACCTGACTCTTCTCCAGCTAGACTCTGTGAGATTAAAAAAAAAAAAGAGTGTCTTTGGAAACCGACCCTGTGCCCACCACAGAGCACTGGCCCGGAGTGGGAATTAAAGAGGGAAGTGGTGGGGTTTGGGGCCCCAAAGCTGGCGGAGCTGTGGCAGCTGTTGACATTCTGGGTAGTGGGCCTCTATACTTGCAGAATTTCTGTGTGAATAAATAGTGCTCTTTGGATCCAAGCTGGCACCACAATGGAGCATGGGCCCCAGAGTTGAATGGGTGCTCTGAGTTCCCACCACAGGGACAAGCTAGGGTTTCCCAGCAGCTCACAGTTTTCAGGGCATCCCCACCACAACCTCTCCTTGCTTGATCAGTCCTTGCTGCCCTTGCTGTCCACTGCATAGCTTGGAGGAAAATCTCCCTGAGCTCAACTGCCTGGAGACCAGACCCGAGGATGGGTGCAAGTGCCCCTTGGCAGGTTATGCTGGAATGGAGTACATGAATCTCACACCATACACAGTAGCTACCCTGTGACCCCACCCTGTGACACTCTGACCCCACCCCAGTCCTGGTCATGGCCACTGCTGCTGCCACCACTGGGCCCAGAGGGAGCAACACCACCAGCGGGTCAATCTGAACCTACTGGGTGGGAGAATCAGCAGCCTGACAGTGCCCTCAGGCCTACTGACACCCCAAAGTCGCTGTTAAGCCTCTGCCAGACTCCATAAATCAGGACCAAATTTTCCAAACCTTTAAACTGCCAAAATTTAGGTATGTAGGAGCCATGCCACCAAATCACTTCCAGCCACCCCCACAAGCTCATTTATCAGCCTTGCTCCAGAGACTCATAAAAAAATTCCAAAGAGATCAAAAAGCCACTGTAAATCATTTTTGGACCTGTACATGACTGAATCACCCGGGGCACATTGGAGAGGTTAGGTTAGCCCAGTGCCCACCCACACAAAGGCCCTGGCAGTTGCTTGTTTCCACAATCCAAACTTTCCACTATTCCACTATGACCCCAGCCAGACCCTATCTAAGGACATCTAAGGACAAATCTCACCAAGATATTAATCTATTGAGAATTTAGGTATGCACTTTCTGTGAATGAGATCTCCAGGCTTTCTCTAGGTGGGAATGAGCTACCTCCCCCGCACTTTCCAGTACCCCCTGGCTCCAGCGATCACCCCCATGAACCATACCAGTGCCACCATGTAAGCTCTTCTACTGGCCTTGATCCAGAGAGTCATAAATAAATCTCGAAAGAAATTTTTTAAAAAAGCTGGAGAAAATCTTTTCAGACATCTGATTCTGGCTGAATCATCCAGAGTACCCCTGAGGGGAGATGACTTTGCACTGTGCCTGCCCAAGCAAAGCCCCTGGCAATAGTTTGCTCCCACAATCCAAAATCCCTGCGAAGTCCCTGGCTGGATTCCACTGGCTCAGGGTGGACTTCCATGAGATACTAATATGCTGAAAATGTAGACTGTAGGGGTTTTTTTAAATTTTTATTAGTGAAACACCATGAGGTACAGGTAGAGTCTTAAAAAATTTTTGTGCTTGGGTTTCAGTTATACAATGATTGAGTATCCACCCCTCCACCAGTGCTCATTCTCCTCCAACACTGATCCCAGTATCCCTCCAAACCCCCCAT